GCCTTGGGCTCTGCAAGCAGTGCTGATTTATTTTGCCTGAGATCACTTAATCAATCAGGTTGCATCAGATCGGATGAGAGCGCAGCTGTGCCTGGAGCAGACAGGGCTGGGCCAAGGGGAGATCAGTGATCTGCGCAGGCTGCACTGGAATCGCAGCTAGCATCAGCCCAGGGTGTTCCTGATATTGATTATTTGTTTATTTATTACTCTAATGTTTCTGTACCTAGCTTTTGAACTTGATACTGATTTATTTAGTCCTTCTTCATGGGTGGAAAAGTGTGTATAGGGCACAGACCTGATGAAATTATGGTGTATTACACCATGATGAGTGAAGAAATGAAAGACTGACGTAAAAGTTGATGCTGAAAAACAGTTTATTCTAATTGGATTATACATGATTCTGTATATAAGGTAAATTAACAGGACTCTTCGATGGGCACAAAGCAGATCAAGATGTTTGAAGTGATTTAAACACACTATTATTGATATTCTATAATGGTAGTTAATCTTGTACATGCATGCGTACAAAATAGACTTAAAAACACTGCTTTTGTGGAATGTGATGTATTTGTGCTCTCCAGGATGTTACGCTGATTGTATGCCAGATGTCAAGGCAAATTTTAGAGGATACACATTGTTAAAAAAAAAAAAAAAATCCCAAAGGGAAAACCATGTCAACTTAAAGATAAAATGAAGATTTCTCCTCCCTTCCTCCTTCTTTTTATATATTTGTTGGAGAGTCACTTTGTCAGCTGCTTTCATTTTTAAATACACAGAGTACAGACAACTGATGTTTTTAATCTAATATATCATAAAAATCAAGCTTTGTCTTAAGATGTGGACTTGGTGTTCTTTACAGCTGATTAATTACTGAGCATCTGCCAAATGAGTTCTTGCTCAGTTGTTTGCTACACATTTGAATGTTAATCAAAACCAAATATAATTTATTGAAAAAAGTTCTATTATCGGATTCCTGTTTCTTTATTTTTCTCAGATGCATCAATTCCCCAATTGTCTTTAATCTTCTAGAGGAATTTGGGTAGAGAAGCTCCTTTGTGTGAGAAATTTTGTGTTTACACTAACTCCATATCTCTCTAAAAAGTTACGAGAAATTCAAGCTGTCTTATTAATCTAAAAATGTGTATTTATTCGCCTTTTGTAGGTAGCTGGTTAGAATTTGGTCTGGGAGATGGACTAGGTGATTTCTTGAAATATTTCATAGCTCTTTTCCTGTAAGTCAGCGTCTGGACTTTTTAAAAGTCATCTGCAGATTATTTTTATAATGCACTGTTGATACAATATTTTTATCTGCCTCATCTGGAATGATGCCCGTTTTTGATCAGTAGTCTTTATTAAATAATGTGAAAATGTTCTTGGCACCGCAAAACGATTTTGTTTCCCTGTTCCTTCTGTCGGGTAGATCCTAGCAGAATCTCTGTAGGCAGCTCCCAGCGTTGAGGAAGAACTAGTGTGTGGCCTGTGGGATTTAGTAGTAAGGTTTGCATGTTGTGCATGGTTCACAGGATTAGGCTGAAGAGTATGTGGGAAAACTATGTATTAGGACAAGTTTAGGAAATGGGATATCAGTTGTGGCTCAGAGGAGCACTTTGAGGAGCAATAAAAAGAGACCCCTAAATAAATACAGGAAAAAATGCTTTGCCTGTCAGAACCAAATAGCTGGGAAGAGTTTATCTGGTGCAGATCTGTACGACTCTTTCCTCCTTCAGAAAATGGAATGTTTTTACACATAGCTGCTTATTTCTCCCACCCTCCCTGTTTCCCTCTCCTTTTCCAGCACGTTCTCAGCGAAACACATCATGCCCATTAGCCATGGTACTGCAAAGCAAACATCCCTCCTGCCATAACAGCTTGTCCATTCGCTGAAGAGGAAATACATTGCTTGGCTTGAAAGGCTGTTCTAATTGCAAAACTTGGCACTGTGGTTTAAGCGGTGGTGATTTATCCTTTTGCTCTCCTGATCATTAGGACAGAACTGAATTTTAGTTTTATTCAGAGAGATCACCTGAGCATAAGCAGTAGAAATCTTCTGAAGATGCTGGAAAAGGAACTATTTGTACAAGTGTTTTTGTTAAATAGATCTTTCACGGCAGCTTGTGCTGCGAAGGGTGGGAAATGCTAGAGGTCTGGGAGAAAAGCAGACGAGACCTCTGGCTCCCTCCTCCTCCGGGCGAGGATGGGTTTGAAGTCTTGCCATGAGCCGGATGAGCAGAACAGGGCCCGGTGGGGGCCGTGCGCGGCTGGGAGCACGGAGGGCTCGTGGAGAGCGGGCCTGGGGGCAGGAGGGGTGGCCAAGCCACGGCAAACCCTCCCCCTCGGCTCCTTGCAGCCTCCTCGCTGCCGCACGCTCCGTGCACAGTAATGATGAGGTGCCCTGTGTTTGTAAAGGACTCTGTATTTGATTTGTGTTTGAGGGTGTGCGTAGGAAACAGGGTCAGGAAGCATAATAAATCAGATGCTGTCTTCATGGTGTTACGTGATGTTGAAAGCTTGTTTTGGTTCATCAGTGTACTATAGTCAAGGTTTTTCAAGAGTGACTAAAGATTTATTATTATTATTTATTTTGTTTGTTAGTTTTATCCAGGCTTAGGAGACCTTTAAGAGCAGCGTCTTCGAAGTGCAGGTCATAACCCCAGGGAGAGCTGCTGTCGCTCCAGGTTCTCTGGGAGGCCTCACGGATACTCCTCCCTTGCCCAGTGCTGTTTTTCTAGTGCAGATGTTGCCTCTCCGAGTTGGAGGAAGCAGGGCGGCGAGCAGAAGGAGGAAGCTCAGCTTTATGCCGAAGTCTGGTTTGTGCCTGTGCCTATAGAGTAGAAACCAGGGAGCACCCATATATCTGGTGGCTCCTAGCTGCCTCTTGCCTGCAGCCCTTGCCCAGCCATAGCAGCGGTCGCGAGCTGCTGTTGTGAGGGTTGCTGACCTGGGGAGAGTTGGTTGTTTTTTGTTTTAAGGTTTATATGTGTGTTTGTTGTGAGCTACTGTATTTATACAATGGAAAACTTTTTTAATGGAGCTTGTGATCAAAACAAGCAGATTGGGAATGGAAAAAAAACAAAAAACAAAAAAGGCGAGATGTGAGTAGGAAAGAGGCTGCTGGCCGGTGCTCACCGGTTTGGGCCTACGGAAGCGGCGCTCTTAATCCCTGTAACCTGCACACATGCAGGAAAGTCGTTCTTCCAGCGGCATCAGCTGCTGGACGTGGCTCCTTGGCAAGTCAGGAGGCTGTGTTGTTCAGCCATGATGTAAGACTGTGAAATTCACGTGTAGAGAGCTGCTTTGCGAAGGTTTCTACCAGGTCTAAATATAGACGTGTGTTTGCGATGCGCCTGTGGTGTCTTGCAGTTGTTAGAGCAGCCTTTGATCAAGGCTGTGGCTTATTAGTCTAAAAGCTATTTCCCTTGTATACCCATGTTTTCATTAATCTAAACGGAACAGTTTCATTTGTTATAGAGCTGTGCTCACTTTTATCTCTTATAAATCCCTGAAGGTTGTTTTCACATGTAGTCAAGGCCTGATCTGTGAAGTTCCAAACATCCTAAATCTTTTTGGCTGTGCAAAGCATGAATTAACAGAAATCAGGGGTTTGAATCACTGGGGAGCCATAGGAGAGATAGGGCCCATCCTCATGTAGTCGTATTTTGGGAAACTTTTAAGAAATGTATGTATATGTACATGTGATAGCCACAGCTTTTTGAAATTATCTTCTGAAATATTTCACTGGATGTTTTCACTCAACCTTGGTGACTTGTGGTCTGCCTAAATAACCGTTCTCGGAGATCTTGAGCTGGATATTATAAAATTGGGAATTGATTCCAGTGTTTTGTTTTCAGATGTAAAAACTGGTGTGTAACCTGATGTGTCTTCTGTAATTCTCAAAGTACTCTGTATAAGAGACAGTAAGAAGCATCTCTGAAATTCTTGTGTGTACATTAGGCTTTCCCTTACTCACCCAATCCACTTGTATGAGGTCAGGTAACTTTTTCACCTCTACAGTGAATCCTTTATTGTCTGCATTTTCCAACTGTTCCAACAAAATTGTTGGCATCAACAAACTATTAATTTACTATTCCTACTTCACTTTAGGTACCCTGTAACTGAAAAGTTCAGGAATAGACAGAAGGATCATTAAGATGTTGTCGTGATGACTCTGTCACCTGCTGAAGTGAGTTCGTTCTTGCAAAAAGCCAATGCTAACCATGGTGATTTAGTAGGAAACTGAGCGTTAGGATTCCTGAGGCATCTTTCATGCCTGAACTGTGTTTTAAGGCTTCTTTAAAAAGAAAATGCTCTTGTTGCTATAGTGATAGGTTTAAAGATTTGCAAATTAATGTTTCTCGCAGCTGAGGAGGGTTTCTGGGCAGTTTACAGCCACCTTGCTTAATGAGCTGCTGGATGGCGCTTGGGATACAGGTGATGAGGGCTGTGCAAGAGCAGATGGAGATGAAAATGGGTGGCCAGTGGTAGATAACCTTGGATAAAATGGAAATAAGTAGCAAGTTTATATGAAAACAAGTAGTTCACGTAGCAGAAGTAGTTGACTCTGAAACTAGCATGTTAGTTGTTGCGTTAGAACTTTTTTTCCTACTTTATCCTAAGCTTCATCTTCAAAATGTTATTTGGTCACTTGTTTCTCCATCTAGCTGTTTGGTTTAAAATACAGAAAATAACTTCTGGAGTTTCCTTTCATCCTTTAACTAAGAAGGAAGAACAGGGAAAATGACCACAAAACTTCCTTCCTTTTAAATTTTATTTTATTATTATTTTTTTTTTTTAGAAAGTACCCCTGGAATGATATGATGGTTGAAGAGTAAGCTCTGGGATAATATTAATTACTGAGTTCCTGTTAAAAATGTGTGTGTGTGTTTATCACCTTGTAATGAATTTTGATATAGAATTGTTATTATTTAAGTAACTTTAGCAAGTGAGTTAATCTGTACAGGATAGCTACGTTCTAATGTGGGGTTTTTCTTCTTCATGCTTAGTTTGAAAAAGAAAAGACAAACCAAGCAAAACGCCGAGACTGTCTCTGCCAATTCCTCTGGTTCTCCTGTTTCCAAAACTTCTTCTGAGAAAGATGATGAAAGTAAAGCCATTTTGGAGCAAATCAGTTCTTCAGAAGACAACTGTAGATTTGCTGGGGAAAAGGAAACTGCTTCGGACAAAGAAAAGAAAAAGAAAAAGTATAATCAACTGAAAGACGTCAGGCGCACAGAGCTTAAAAGATATTATAGTACTGGTGAGTTGTGTTAAATCTATAGTATTTTGAAATGTGTTTGTTTCAACAGCCAGTGTTTCAGATAAAGGATTGTTTTGAAGATTTGCCTTTAATGTTTTATGGCACCGGAGCTCAGATTTTTTTTGGAAGGTTGTTCGTTTTGCAAGTGGGTACGTACTGAATAAGTTTTCAGTCGTAGTTTGTATTCAGTTTCAGGTACCACCAAATAATAGTTTTGCTGTTTTTTTAAATACTTAGCTTCTGTTTGTTTTTTAAAGTATGAACGAAAATGTAAATTAACCTACGCATTCTTAAACAAGAAGTCAAAAGTGCTGCGTGCTGAGAAGTTTAGGGTTTTTTTCCATCTGCACCTGTACCTCTGTTGATCATAAGCACCTTTATTAGCTCCATTTTTGCAAGTAATTCAGATTCCTTAAGTATCTGTGACATGATTGCAAAACAGGTCTATTTGTGGTTCTGAATTATCATTTATTAAATAAGCTTTCTTAGTTGTGATTTACGAGATGTTCTTTTTTCCAACCTTTCTCTGTTATTTTATAGAAATAAGCTCTTAAAAAGTTTTATCTTTTTAAGAAAGCCGTTTTTGGAATTAAAAGGCAAACAAATATGTTAAATAACACAGAAGCAGACTTCTCTTCTTTCCTAATAGGCTGACTGGCTCATGCAGACTAGTCCCCATCTTAAGATCCTCTCCTGTGAGGCAACATATGCTTAACCAAAAAAAAAAAAAAGTTGTAGTAGTGTCTCACAGCAAGCACAAGAGATTAGTGCTTTATGGATTGATGCATGATTTTTTGTCAGCTTGGAATCTAACAAAATCAATAATTTGGAAACTAAGAGAAAATTGCTTCTCCTTTTGTCTCAAGTTCTGACTACAGCATTCTTGAATAAAGTCTTTAGAAGAAGAACAGAAAGGATTGTATGAGGAGTGAATGTCCAAGCCATTCATATCTTGTTAAGAAGCTAGCGATTCTGGGGGTGTTTTGTTTGTTTTTTAGGACTTTTTCTTTTGATTAACACGTCACATGAAAATATAAACTCCTGCTGTATGGGTAATGAAGTGCTTCTGCTAAAAGCAGTGGTTTAATTCCTGTTTTCTCTAAAGGAATTCAGCGTTTCGTGAGGTAGCCAAATGTTTGCAGTGTTTGGTGATTTTGTGAAACACTCGGTGACAGCCGGGTTCCCCTTTGGAGAGCAGCGGGGGAAAGGGGGCAGGAGGCAGCTTGGACACGTGCAAGGGCAGCACCCAGCGGTGCCATCGCCCTCCCTGAGCAGCGTCTGGGCTTGCCAAGGGGGAAATAAAGCGCTCGGGGCCCTGGTCTGTGATCCAGCCAGCACGATTAAACATGAACGTTTAAGAGCTAGTACGTTTAGTGCAGACTGATGCTGCTGGGGAGAATTTTAAATCCTTTTTCTCCTACAGATGTTTTGAGGCCTCTGGGTTGTGCAGTGCTTTAACCCAAGACCTTAGTTCTGTTGTTGAGCTCAGCGCAGACCTGACTGGCACAACCTGCAGGGAAACCCCTTTGTTTTTTAAATCCTGTTTTCAGTTGCTCCTAAATAAAGACTTTTGCCCAACCCGCGTGTCAAAATTGTGGAAGTGAAAGTTGAGAGAGATGGAAAGTCTCGATTGTGAAACGAGCCTGCTAGCTGCACGTTTCCTATGTGACTATCCCAATGAAGTAACTTGGGTGGAAATGCTGGTCACCGCGGCGTTCCTGCCCTTAGCGCTCCTGCTGCGGCTCCCTCGGCCGCGCGCGCTGGCTCTGGGGCAGGATGCCTGGGGCTGTGCTGCGAGGTGTGGGTGCAGCCCACGGGAAGCTGGCGCGGATAAACCCTGGGCGCGTGGGCAGTGCACCGTCTTCATCGCTTGAGATTATAAGCGCATATACATACAATGATCTCCTTCCGTGTGATTTCCTCCCTCCAAGTTGTCCTTTATTTACTTTTCTGAGATGTTTAGACCAAAATAGTGTCTCCCTAATGCTTTTTTTCTGGGTGTGTTTGCAGAGGCTTGAGATTTTGGGGTTTTGTTTGCTTGTTTGTTTTGTTTTGCTTTCCAGTTATTTAGCTTTGACTTAATACATAGATTTTTTTAAAAAAATCATATTGCAATTAATAGTTAAATTATGTTTGCATTTGCTGAAAGGCTTTCCTTCCTAGTGAGCAGGAAAATGCATTAGCTGCAGCTACAGCCCTGCGCCATGTGTGTTAGTATGGTGCTGCACACACCATTTATTTCAAGGCTTAATGGAGCTCCTGTCATAAGCTGCTGTGAGCCTGGAAAGGTCATGTCTGTCAGCCTGACAGAATAAAGACCTCTGTCCTCTGAATAATCTCTCTTTCATGTTTTGCCGGGTCATAAATCCTTCTTTATTTATGGTTATTAGAGAAACAGGGTAAGAATGCTACATCTCGCTGTAATTTCTTCCTAACACACCATGTCCCTTCATTACATTGCCCATATGAACCTGTGAATGCTGACAGTGACTTTCTTGCTACTCCACTTTGAATGTCCTTCCTTTCAGTGGACTTATGCAGGAGCCCTTATTTTCCATCGGGGGGGTTGTGTTGTTGTGGTGAATCCCTCTTCTCCAGTAGCATAAGCGTAATGCTGATTCTGAAGGCTGTGGAGAGCTGGAGACAGCAATGCTCCCTGCCACGCTTTGCGGAAAAGAGTGGTTAAAAGGCTTTTCTCTTTTATTTTATCTTCCTTTGAGGAAGGTGGAGGTGCAGCTACGGAAAATCTCCTCGCCGGGTAGGTGCCCCGTTGTGCTGTTGCCCGCAGCCGGTGGGTGGCATCGCGGAGCTGTGGCTGCTGCACCCCGCAGCCAGGAGCCCCGGGCACCGCTCTGCCTCCGCAGGGCTGTTCCGTGCACAGGGCGCCTTGCAGCCTCCCGACGGGGGACACGGCCGGTCGCGCCTCCTGGGACACTGCCAAGAGGCTGAACAGATCCCGCTGCCGAAGGTTCCTCCTGGGAAGCTTCATCTTTTCCCTTTGTGATGGTACCGCGCTTCAGCGGCTCTGTAATTCTGGGGGGCAGCTCTGCCGTTCCGTCTGTAAGCGTCAGATTTTGCCCTTTTTGCTTGCCTTAAAGCACAGAGGCGCAGGTGCTGCTGACTACTGATGGCACTTAGCCTCCCCCTTAATTCTGGCGCATCTCCTGCCTGTGAGGCCATCAGCTGCTTAGCTTAATCTTGCCCTTTCGGCTCTTCCCGCTGCCCTGGTTTTCCTTCAGACGCCTGCGGGTGTATCAGTGCTGCACAGTGCTCGGCTGGGCTCCCGGCTGCCGCAGCCAGCGCCAAGGATGCCGTGTCCTCCCTGCTTAGGGCTTGACCTGCTTCTGGGACCTGCCTACTTAGTTCAGATGCACTCTCCGTGGAAAGTTCTGTTGGAAGCTGTTGAATTGCTGAGCTTCATTTTTTTTTTCTTAGTTTCATTTCCTTTCCCCTCAAAGTCATAGGCTTTGAAACACTTTGGCGGATGCAAGGTCGAGCTGCAGGAGCTCTGCCTTGCAGCTACAGCAGACTGGAGGCTCCAATTTCTTGGCCCAAGGGCAGAGCTCACCTTTCTGGGATGGAAAACCAGGATTCCTGTCAGGAGTTGCTAAACAGGATGAGGATTATTATTTGTGTTTTGCCAATGAAGACCTTCAAACATGAAAATGTGGCCTTCTGCAAACAGAAAAACTGTGGTTTTCAGTGCTTGATGTGGCCAGATCTGCACTGATCAGCACAGAATTGAGAGACCAAGAGCACCTGCTGTCAGGTTCAAAGTCAAAGGTTGCTTCCAAGGCAGTGAAAATCTAGCCAGAGTTTAAATCAATAAAAAAAGTGGGTCACATATGGAACCAGCTTTGCATAATAATTTTTAAACCTTGGCTTATTTTCTAAACAAGCAATTGCTCTGAAGAGGAATTTTCAGCATATATTGAGATGACAGCTGAGACTTTTGTGTTAATGTGTTCTAGATTCTCTACTATCTGTTTTTAAATATGGCTATTCCACAGTAGGATTCAGTTGAGGACTTGAGTAAGGTGCTGCTTATAACATGAAAAAGGAAAAATGCATTTGAAAATAAATCTGCATGAGTTCTTTCTGGCAACTGTCTAATGCTGATCAGTCCTAACCACTGGGGACTTGATTTGGCCACCCCTGCTCATGCTGAAAGGTATTTTGTTGGGAGTAATCCAAGTGATTTACTCACAAATGTACAAAGTGTGTTTACCCTTTTTTATTATAATGATAAGAAGAAGAAAATCTGAATTTTTCCAAGGTTTTGCCACTTTATTGTAACTTTGTTTCAGTGTGGGTTCAGACAGCAAAAAAAAAAGGGGGTAAGAAACGTGTAAGGAGGAGTGAAAAGAGAGAGGAGAAATTTTCTTCCAAAATCAAAGTCTCAAAAGCAAAGCAGTAGAAAAGGGGATTATTGATATGTCTGTACGTGCATAGATAGTATAACAAGGGGTTTGTGTAATGCCTTATTTATGAGGGTAAGCAGGATGGGGTTAATATGGATTGGATGGGAGGTGTCACGTACTTGGTATATTAGCATCATTTACTGGAACCATTTAGAAAGGATGAGGTGGACAAGGAATTGGGTTATCAGTGTCAGATCACCTGTTTGGGAGTAAAGAACAAGTGATCTTGAATTCCAGTGGATCAGTGTTAAGGTGATAATATCTTAAGTTTAAGATGAGGTGTTAATTGGCACTTACTAGAAACTATCAGACTGTAGAAGAAACGCCCTTGTCTCCAGGACATCTGCTTGATCTGAGCAGCAGGTGCAATTTATTTCTAAAAATTAAAATGAAAATACCTTAGTGTTTCTTGAGTGAAATTTATATTACGCTGTGTGTAATCCTTGGAAAGGTACCTCAAAACTCACAGTGAAGCCTGAAGGCTGAGCAACTTTAAGCCTGTTGTTAGATTGAAGTGAGGTTTATATGGTTTTATAAAGAGAGGAAAATAGGTGATGTATTCACATTCCTGGGAATCTGTCCGCTCATGGATGGGAGCTTTAAGGGTTGATTTAAAAACACTCATGATCCTTTTAAATTTATTATTATTATTGTTGTTATTTTTTCTTCCTCCCCAGAAATCCTTAAAACACAGACGATGTAAGACCTGATATTCCTTTCTTTAATTTTCAAATCGTCAGTCAAGGCCAATTATGTTATAAATACTATGTTGCAGATATAACAGGTGAGTATTTTGTGAGGCCCTCAAGGTTATATGCAGGAACATCAAGAGCCCTGAATCTGGGTTTACACCTCACTCGGGCAGGCTGGCTGAGCAAGTGCTTCTATTTCTGAAGGGATCGATTGCTCATACTCCACAACTTAATACTTTTATATGTGAACAATCACATAATTATCCATCTGCACAGCTGGAATTTGTAAAGTTGGAAGAACTGTAAACAAAGCAAATTATTCATGCTGCGTTATGTGAATTGGCTCATAGTTTGAGCACATGCAAAATTTGTATGTCTTACAACTAGGCTGAAAACAAAGATTTCCAAGAGGAGGGGAATATCTCTTAATTCTGAAAAATTACTTAAGCTTGTGATGGGAATACTGAACTGAGTGTGAACTTGCGGAGCATCATCATGGTGGAAGGGAATGCTGTTGGCACTTGAAAGTTGCCTGTAAGGGAATAATGGGAATTATGGTGTGAACACTGTGTTTGAGTCTGGTGTCCCTGCGGGAATAATGGGAATTATGGTGTGACTGCTCCCGAAACACTGTGTTTGAGTCTGGTGTCCCTGATTCTAGGATGCAGAAGAATGAGAGGGAGGCTCAGGAGCTGCTGGGAATGTCAGGCCAGGGCCTCGTTCTACAAGAGTGATCACGACTGGATGTCTGGGAGGCAGATGAAGAACAGGATGGGTTTTATCTAATCATCCCCGCTAATGTTCTTCCATCTTCCAGCCGTTTTGAGCTAGGGGAGGAGGGAGGCTGAGATGTGCTTGCAGTTTGTGTTTCCAAATGCTTGGAGCAGGCTCTGCCTGTTCCTATGCAGATTTTTTGGATCTGCAATATCCTGTGGCAAAGAGTTCATAGGTTTACTGCCATCTGCACCAAGGGCAGCCTGGCTCCTGCTGGCTTTGTTTGGTGGCCCTGGGGCCTTATTCTTGAAGGACCCGTGAACAGTCAATCCCTGCCCACCTTCTGCAAGCCTCCTTTTATTTCTGTAGTCTTCTCACTGTAGAACACCCTTTCTCTAACTCTTTTTTTTTCTTTTTAAATGATGCTGGGACAAGCATCATGTGAGAGTTTTGCTTGTCCTTTCCGTCCTTCTCCAGTGCTGGCATATTGGGGGTGTTTTTGCTCAGATTCTCTGACTTTTATTTGCTGTGCAACTCCATGCAAGCCTGTCTAGCCCAGCTGGAGAAGGGAGCGAATGTTTGGGGACCAGAAGGAGTTGCATGGGACTCCATAACTGCCTCATACAACTGTTGTAATTTTTCTTGAGGAGAAAAAAAAAACAGAGTTTAATCCTAAATTACCTGCATGTGTGTATGAGCTTTAGCATTATCACTGGGGCAAAATACCGGGATTTGATATTTTCAAGAATTTCTATTCTACCGCAGCAGTTCCTCAAAGCAGGATTTTAACACAGTGAAGGTTTGCAACCTTTTTGATAAAGGTCAGGTTAGAGCTCGCCCTGAGCAGTGTTTGAGCAGCTAGAGCTGATCTCTGCTGAACAAATGATAGGCGTTTTCAAGAGCTCTCTGTTTACCCGGGGCCTGAATTTTCTGGAAGAGCGAGCACTTAGCCTGTTAATTATGTTTAAATAGAGACACTTAACAGCTCTGAAAATTGGCCCCGGGAGGAAGGCAGGAGAGTGGTGGAGGAACTGGTCGGAGCACACGTACCTGGCGAGTCCTTGGCTTCGTGGGTGCCCTGGCTGGTCAGTGCATGCCCTGCAAGGGCAGGAGGGATTGGACCTTCTGCCAACTTTGCTTTTCGATGCTTCCTGCAGCAGGATACAGAAAATGCACTTAAATGCATTTAATTAATTAAATGCACTTAGAAGTGCACTTAAATCCTTGTGTTCTGGGTGCCTGTGACCAGACAGCAGACGCTGCTGGGAAGTCCAGGCGTATGGGACCCTGTGAACGAGCCCCATAGGGCTCCCCGGGGCCAGCAGAGCCGCTCAGTGGCTGCCACTTGCCGGTCCTCCCCTCTGGAAGGAGGTAAAACCACAGGGCCTGGGTCCTTCCTGCTTGCCTCAGGCTGTTGGGCAAGTCGTGGGGTGAATCTCCTGGCCTGCAGGCATAGGCTGCTCCCTTTGCTTGTTCCCAGCGAGTCTGTGTAACTCCAACCTGGTATCCCCAAGGCTTTTATTTTTCTTCTGAAGCCACTTCCTGTATTTTGTTTGAAATATGCTGCAGGAAATTAATCTATATGCCGTGAAAAGTAGAGCTACCTGGGCCTGTGTTTAAATAATAATGCAAGGTTAAGCCAGAGGGTGTGTTTTTGTTTTTATAAATTCCGTAATGCTCTTGCTCCCAACTTTGCCAGCTGACGTTCCCTGCTGTCTCATCAGTCTGTCACCGTGGCTGGGATGTGACTCAGCAGACCGTGCTCGGGATCAGTGTCTCGTGTAGGCCGAGCTGCTCTTCCCTGGAGCTCCCCAAGGGCTGTGCCAAGCGCGGGCAGGCGGCAGCGCGTCACGTGCTGCTGTCGTCCTTGTACACAGCAGCAGCAATACATGCTTGTATGTTTAGGATGTTTCTGATTTTCATATATGTTTTTTAATTTGTTATATCTAAATTATCAATGAGTAAACAAGGGAAGAGTTTTTGTGCCTGTAAGTTTAAATGGCAGAGCCTTTACAGAGAAGCTGTTCTGTGTCCAAGGAGCAAAACAAATGGATAAAAACAGTACGTGGAGTGTTAATGTAGCATGTGGGTGTATCTTTTGTGATGCCTAAATAGACATTCCCTCAGCCCTGATCTGTTAGCAGATTAGTTTTTTTAATGTTGTATCCTGATTTAAT